TTACTTGAGGAGCAGCAAAATCACATTGTAGAAGCAGATTTCTAGCTTTTGCCAAGATTTCTGTCTTCTTCCTGGATGCGAAGTGAACCTCGACATTTTCAGCAAAATTGCTCAGTTGGTTATCTTTGTTATCAGATGCTGAAATAAACTTCATTTCCCTTAAAGCAGTCTCAAACTCAGAAGTACATTTGATGATCTTCAGAAAGTCAGCAAGTTTTGAAGCATCTTCAGGGACAACCTGATACAATAAACTTGCATTATTTTTCTTTACCTAATAAAAACAAAAGACAAACAGTATGTCTTCCTATAGCATAGAAATATGCAAAATGAAAAATTTCATGAACCAGATATGCAAGCAACATATTTGATCACGGATAATGACGAAGTAAATTTGAGTACTCAGTAAAAACTCCTTTACTAATAGTGACAAGACATCAGAACCAATTATTATTTTTAACTTATAATGACATCAATAATGGCAAATAATCTGGTTATCATGTAAGCCACTTCGAAAAAGCTAGATGCAACAAACACATCAATAACCATAATAGCAAACATAGTAAAAACTCAGGGCACAACTGTTTTCTCTTTAATTTTTTTTTTATCACATTATCTATACACTAATTGAACTGATTGATCAAATGGTGAGATCAATGATAAAATGTCGATTTCCCAGGTCAAACTAAAATCAAATAGTGGACTACTATTCTTAAATTGTTAACGTATATTTATAATAGAGTTCAAATAAACTCGTAGAAAAGGAGGGCAAGGGTGGGAAGAGATAAAAGGAAGAACCTTAGAAAGAAAATTAGAAATAATTAACTCTGAAATCCTTGGCCATGTCAATCTTCCAAAGCATCGAATCCAAGACACATCTTGAAGGCAAATGTGGTTGTTAATAAACTTGATAACCTGAATAATCCCTGAGTAGATAGTCTCACCATCCATTTTTTCAATCTGAAAATCCAAAGGAAAAATGTCAATGCAACAATTAGCAGAATCCGGAGAAGAGAAATTTGTGGAAATCCACTTATTAAATTGAAAAATTAACAGTCTTTCCCGCAAATCAGCTATACAATGCACTGAGGTAAACCCTTTTTTTTTTTTCTTTTCTCACAGATTACATGTTCTGCCATTAAACATTTTCAAGACAAACCATTGGAACAGAAAGAAAAAAAACTTAGACAAGAGTGAGATGCCAAATCTACCTTAGGATCACTTGAAGGTACAATGTTCAGTGTCGCCTCAGTCATTACTTGTGAGTCTGGATTTACTTCTGTCACAAAGGACATAGGAGCTCCAAAATTTAGAGCCGGAGAGATGACATGCTTGATCATCAAGTCGGCAACTTTAGCAAGCCCATAATCCAAAATTCCAACCACCTACAAGATCCCTTTCACAAAATCAGAGAACTGAATTCATTGCAAAGCACATTGCCCTCATTGCGTAAAACCAAAAACCATTTGTAACTGCTGAATTTCGTTTAGTTTTGAACATTACAAGGTTATAATGCGTCTACTTCTACTGTCAATGTTAAACGGAAGGAACAAAAGATCTTGACGTGAACTTACATCCAAAGCTTCCAAAACTGTACGGAGCTCAATCCCATCATTTCCATCGACGCTTAGTACATACTTGACTCGGATTCTATTAGATTCCCGTTCAAACTGCACCGCATTTCCGATGAACCTCACAAGCACCTCTTGAATCTACAAACCGAAACCGAATTCCTCTAAAAAACACAATCACAAAACTCAAATAAAAATCACCACAAAAACAATCACGTTTCACTGGAACAACGCTAATATTTTTTGCCATGAACTTGTTCTTTGATTTTCTCTCATTTTCGCTGATTTTCTCGTCGACCAAACAGAAAGTTATCCCGTTTACCTCCTCAAAGCACTCTGACCACTGTTTCCTCAGCAAGCTGTAAACCACAGGCTCTCTCTCATCAACCCGATCATCGTCAGACACCCTAAGAGCCTTCTTGAGCTCCCTCAGTTCCTCAGCTGTAAATCTCAGCCGCCCATTCCTCAACCCCTCTCTGGCACCCTTCAGCTTCTCACTTATTTCCAGAATTGCCCTCACCAACTCCAACAATCCCTTCTTCTCCCTCACCTCTATCGTCGTGGCGCTCATCTGCTTCATAATCTGCCCGATCTCCACCTCGATCGGACGGTCGGAAATCGAACTCAGAAGCTGACCGACGTCGTCGGAGATTTGATTGGAGCGTGAAACGGCATCGTCGCAGACGGAGAAGAGGTTGGCGAAGTCGTTGTGGTGAGAGAGGAGGTAGGATTGGATTTTCGACTTGATTTGGAGCGAGTGGGAGTCGAGGCGTTGGATAAGGAGGCGGAGATCCGGTGCGGACAGAGGGGTAGTGGGGTCGCTGAGGTCCTGCGCCGACAGGAGCTCTCGGACGTTGATTGAGTCGAACAGGGCGTCCATTTTCGGCGAATCGGACGGCTGCGAGTGCCGGTTGGAGAGACTCGGAGGAGTATGGTCTGCAGCGGGGTGGTGGAAGAAGAAGGAAGAAATGGAGTTGTGGAGGTGTTAGGCGGAGTGTGACAACGTGCGCCGGGCGCGTTGGTGTTGATTTTGGGGCGGGCTGTTACTATCCGCGGGGAGGTTTTTTATTCGGCTATGGGCCTACTGGGCTTAAATGGGCTGATCTTGGGCTTCATAGTT